CTGGGCCCGTCTACTTCTGTGGGCCGCCGCTGGGCCTGAATGTCTCTGCCGGCTGCCGCTGGGTCTGAATATCCCTGTCGGCTGCCGCCGCTGGGCCCGTCTACCTCCACCGGCCCCCGCCGCAGGCCTACCTGCGTCTGCTTGTCTCTGCCGCCGGGCCTGTCTCTTGTTTATTTTTATTACATGTATATGAGTGTTTTGCCTACATGTATGTGAACCATGTGCTTGTCTGGTGCCCATGGAGGTGAGAAGAGGGCACTGGATGCCCTGGACTTGTGGATGGTTGTAAGCCACCATGTGGATGATGGAAACCAAAACCAGGCCCCAACAGACTGCTTCTTTAGCACCCATCACCGCAGCCCCTCTGCTGGGCTACCAAAAGAAGAGCTCTTCCTCTAGCCTGGGTAGAAATGGTTGCAGGATCATCTGGAATTCACAGAGGTTGTGACAGTGAGGAGTCTGGTATAAACTGTTTCAAACACCTTTAGCTGAAGCTGAGCCTTCAGGAGCCGGAGCAATCAACTTTGATCATCCTGTAGCTTGCTCTTGACAGCCACAGAATGTTCAGGACAGCCAGTGCTGGGGTAAGGGTAGTCTGGCCGGCTGTCTGTCTGACAGTCCTTTTGCTCAAGGCAGCCAGGGTAGCAAGGGCGGGTCCCACAGCTGCCAATTAGGGAGCCAATTAGGAAAATTATGGGAACATGAACATCAGATGATGTACTTAGAATAAGGACTCATGGAGACACTAATAGTCGTTAACAGATTTTAACAGTGTTTAACACCTGCCCAGGGCCCAGGAGAGGAAGACGTGTGCGTGTAGTCAGTCTGCTGGAGGCTAGCGAGGGAGTCAGAGGTCCTGCACCAAGGTCTTACCTCCCCCTCACTATAGACACCCCAGAGCATGAATCTCCCCCGACATCAAGATTGGGGCCATTGAGGCCATTCAGAATGGCAAGCCCCAGCTGATCAGCAGATGGTATCACCAGAGAAGGCCCCACCTCCCTTTATTCCTAGGGGGATCTCAACAGTGGGCCAGACAGGCATGCAGCCAGTCTTATTCACAGGAAGACCCCAAGCCCAGAGCCCAGAGTATCTCCACACAAATGCTTCAAATCCTACAGTCCGGACCCCGCCTGACTCCTCCAAGCTTCAAGACCTTCCAACCTGACCTACATTGCCTTCCCACAGACAGGAATCCTCCTCTTGGCTCCAAGACAGGTGAGAAAGACCCATCTCTCCCTGAGGCTCTGGGCAGGTGTTAGCCATTGTTAAGGTTTGTGGGACCCTTTCCCTCCTACTGGGTGGCCTCATCCAAGTCTTTCTATGAGGGCTTATGTCTAGTCTTATTGCATCTTGCTATGCCTGTTGGTTGACATTACTGGGAGGCCTGCTCATTTCTGAAGGGAAATGGAGGAGCAGTGGATCTGAGGGGGAGGGGAGGTGGTGGTGATGGGGAACTGGGAGGAGGGGTGAGAGGGGAGGACGCAGTTGGAATGTACTGTATGAGAGGAGAATAAAGAAAAGAAGAACATTGTTTAAATCAAGTCAAGTGTGGTGGCACAGATACCTGTAGTCCTAGTTCAATCCCTGACACGACAACAAATAAATAAGTCAATGTAGCAACCAGCCAGGCTTCGTGTTTATTATTTCCATTTAATCATTCCAGAAAGGATTCAAGGTGAGGTGGGTTTCAGCGTCACCCATGCTCCCAAATGTCAAGAGCTTCCAAGCACATATTGTAAGGACAGTGGCTTTATCTTGGGAGAGGACATCTCTGCAGTCATGAACTGGACAGAGGGGTGAGAGATCAAGGCCCCTGTCAGGTAATGAGGCAACACTCACTTTCCCAAGTCAGAGTGAGGCAAGATGGATCCAGATTGTGAAACAGAGCTCTGTTTTCTCTGCCAGAAGACAAGGGTCCAGAGTCCAGGGCATTGGCAGCAGCTCACTCCCCTCCCTGAAGGTCACAGGTCATCACCACCCTGGCTGGCTTAGAAGGATTTAACCAGAGCAGATCATGCGGTGACCAAGGCTGGAGCAGCTGGCCAGAGCAGCCCCAAAGTCACTCCATCTCCTGCATAGCCTAGGGAGACAGGCACAAGCTTTAATGAGGGCCAGGGCCAGCCCCCAGAACTGAGCCCCACAGGGCTGAGTGTGGACAGCCAAGGAGGTGGGCAGCAGGATGAGGGGGATTGGATACAATGTCATTCAAAGATGAGCTAAACCCAGAGTCTCCTACAGACTCACAACAGCCAATGGCTTCCCCAGCGCCGTCCCCAGCACCGTCAAGGTGGAACAGTAGAAACTTTCCAAAAAGTGCTTCCTCTAAGGCGAGTCCATTCAGAGACAAGGCACTGGGAGCCTTCCTGATGCTCCAACCACCTCCTCCCAGCCCGCTAGTCTGAATGTCCAGGGTTCTGACACTAACGTGGGGCTGCCAGAAAGTGGGCGTGCCCATCTGGGAGGGAGAGCCGCTCACCTAGTGCCCCTGGGAGGCAGGAGCTTCTCTGTCTGGAAAAGAGAGAAGGAGAGGAAACACATCATCTTTAACTCAAGCTCCATCTGGGCGTGTGCGATGGCTCCTAACCGCAAGTCCAGCATTCCAGAGGCTGAGGCAGGAGGTTGGTTCAGGAGGCGCGATCAGGAAGGGCTGTATGTATGGTAAGCTCCAGACCACTCTGGGCCACAGGGGACACTCTATCTCAAAAGTACTAAAACCTATTAGGAGACTGAGGCAGCAGATCTCTGTGAGTTCAAGGATTGTCAGGGCTATATAGCAAGACCCTGTCTTTACAAATAAATAAATAAATAAATAAATAAATAAATAAATAAATAAATAAATAAATAAATAAATAAAACCAGAGATAGGAAGGTAGTCCAATGAGTAAAGCCACTTACCAACCAAGCCTAACAACCTGTATTTGACACCCAGGTTGAAAGTGAAAGACTGAGAACTGATTCCCATAAACTGTCCTCTGACCTCCACACATGCAGTGGCATGTACACACCCACAAATACACTAAGTAAATCAATTAAAATGTACTTTTGGCAGGGGGCTGGAGATATGGGCTGCTCTTCCAGAGGACCCAGGGTCCATCCCCAGCACCCACATGGCTAACACCATCTTTAACTCCAGTCCCAGGATCCAACGCCCTCTTCTGGCTCCTTGGGCATTGTACACATGAGCTGCACAGAAGCACATTCAGGCAAACACACATATAGATAACATAAAAATAAAGGGAGAGCTAGGCGGTGGTGGTGCCTGCCTTTAATTCCAGCACTCGAGAAGCAGAGGCAGGCGGATCTCTGATCTCAGAGTTTGAGGCCAGCCTGGTCTACACAGCAAGTTCCTGGATAGTCAAGGTTACAACAGAGAAACCCTGTCTCCAGAAAATGAATGAATGAATGAATGAATGAATGAATGAATGAATGAAAATGTACTTTTTCTGAAAAGCACTAAAACCAAACAACAAAAATCATGATTCAGACTCCAGGCCAGCTGAAAGGCCCCGGGAGCCAGCTTAAGGAAGTCTGCACATGGTTCACTTTCTGAGCTCTACAGGAGAACCCACAGTCTCCTCTTCCTTCACCAGACACAGAGAAGAAAAGAGGACAACAGGACACAAATATCACCCTAGCTCAGTGTGCCCCCGGCCCTTCCAGACTGCTCACTAACCCCACAGTACAGCAATGGCCACCATTATTTGACAGCTCCATTTTACAGATCAAGAAACTGGATAAAGGGTCTGGCCACTACTAAAGAGGTTGATATAGGAGCAGTTTTATTGAGTTGTTACTATGTGCTAGGCCCCGGAGGTACCATATGACATTCAGTTGTCCTCAGCAGCCTTGTGACAGAAAATATGCTACCATGGCCACTATGCAGAGAGTGACAGGCGCTCAGGTTCAGAAGCAAGCCTTTGGTCACACGGCCCAGGTCCTCAGCCGTCACCCACCCCTACATCCAACTGAAGATTCCAGGCACATGGAAAGGCCAGGCCTACAGAGAAAACCATATATGCCACAAACTCCCTGAGATGTTCCCATATGAGACGCCCTGGACATTTGCCCCCAGTCCTGTACCTCGGCCAGCTTTTGAGGTGCCATTGGTAAGTGCATTTTGCCACAGCCGGTAGACAGGCATACACAGCATGCCTCCCCGCCACACTTCCCTCAGTTACAACAGGATGTCTCCAGATGCTAGCGGTGCTCACCTTTAGGGACGAACTTCAGTGAGCTGCTAAATATTCAGAATCGGGATTGTCCCCGCTTGGGGCCATCATTCAGGAACTCGTGGCCCAACCCATTGCCACACTTGCCACAGGACACCTGGGGAAACCCAAACACAGTTAGTCACCCTGTGTGGTGGTGACGCTTCCACCATCTGCCTGCTTCCCAAGCTAACTCTAGCTCTGAGGGGTGGGCCCTGCGAAAGGAAGCTATCTTAATGCTCACGTTCTCTCAAAATACAAGCACTCTCAAAACCAGGTGTGGTGACTCACGCCGTAGTCCTAGCACTCAGAAGGCAGAGGCAGGTGGATCTCTGAGTTCGAGGCCAGCCTGCTCTACAGAGTTCCAGGACAGCCAGGGCTACACAGAGAAAGCAGTGTCTTAACAACAACAACAACAACAAATCTTGGTGTGCCAGCACCCCAGCTGAAGATGGAGACCTCGAATAACCACATGAGGGAGCAAAGGAAGACAAGTGTAACCAGTCCCAAGACCCTCCCTGGCCAGCACTCACCGGGGCTATCACACCCACCTTTAAAGCTTCAGGTCGGTTTTTCTCAGGGCGCTTGGTCACACTGTCTGCATGGATGGTTTCAGTGAATGCTGGCCATGGGGAAGAGTGTGCATACTTTGAGCGACTGGAGAACAACTCATAGCCACACTTGGCACACACATAGACACCTGTAGCAGAGGAAGAACACAAGCAGAGACATTCATCAGCTGCGTCTGTCTGGTGCAAGTTTTCTTGACCTCGGACCCAGGAAATGACGTCACTAGCACTGCTCCCATTGTGGGGGTAGACCACACACCATCCCCATACATCCCCTGCTTATAGCCCGTTGATGGCTCTGGGAGACCTAGCAAAGCCTGGCTGGGTTACAAGAGACCAGGAGTCACTCTTGGGGCTCATGCCCTGTGATGGGAAATCTTGAACATTTTCATTCAATTGTTTAGTTTTGGATGTTTTAAAAGACTCATTTTTATTTTATGTGTATGAGTGTTTTGCCTGCATGTATATCTGTGTACCACATGTATGCAGTGCCCACAGAAACCAGAAGAGACCAGAAGAAAGGGCCAGATTCCCTGAGACTGGAATGAACTATCATGTGGGTGATGAGAATGAAACTCAGGTCCTCTGGGAAAGCATGTTCTTAACACTGAGCCATTTCCAGCCCCCTTGGGGCTTTTGTTTTGTTTGTTTTTGAGACAGCATCTTGTGCCTGTTAGTTTCTGTCAACTTGTAACAAACTAGAGTCACCCAGGAAGAGGGACTCCAGCTGAGAACTTACCTGGATCAAACTGGTCTGTGGGCATGTCTATGGGGACATTTTCTTAATTAATGATTGATGTGGGAGGGCCTAGCTCACTGTGGGCAGTGCCATCCCTAAACAAGTGGGTCTAGGCTGTATTAGAAAGGTAGCTGAGCTGGGTGGTGGTGGTGGTGGTGGTGGTGGTGGTCGCCGGCTGCGGCGGCGCTCCAGCGCACGCCTTTAATCCCAGCACTCAGGAGGCAGAGGCAAGTGGATCTCTGTGAGTTCCAGGACAGCCAGGGCAATTACAGAGAAAGCCTGTCTCAGGAAAAAAAAAAAAAAAAAAAAAGGAAGGAAGGAAGGTAGCTGAGCAAGCTAGGGTACCAAACCAATAAACAGCATTTCTTTGTGGTCTCTACCCATTTCCTGCCTCCAGGTTCCTACCTTGGCTTCCCTCAATGATGGACCTTAACTTGCAAACTGAAGTAAACTCTTTCTTCCTCTAGACAGGTTTTGGTCAGTGTTTTATCACAACAGAGAAGCAATCTAGAACAAGTCTCACACTGTAGCCCAGGCTAGCCTGCAACGTGTAATCCAGGCTGGCCTCAAATTTAAGGCAATGCTTCTGCCTTGAGCCTCCTCTACCCTGGGATTACAGGTGTGAGCCATACTTGGCTGACATTTCCATTTATGGGCAAGAAGATGGGAGGTTGGTGATGCCGACACACAAGAAGGTATGTGGCCAAGAGAGACCGCTAAATACCTGACTATAGCCTTCCGCTACTCCTGGACAGGGCCCCTCACACTGCCAGTGTAACCATTTGGTCCCCTCTCTCCTCAAGTAAGCATCCCTGCTACTCCACAAAGTTTTAAATTGGATACCGAGTCATGGGCCTGCTCTCTGAGCAGGAGTAGACTGGCCCTAGGGAACAGTCTTCCAAGCCAAATAGGGAACCCCAGAAAAACAACTGCTGGGAAGAGAGGTTTCAACCTGTCCCCAAAAGACCACATGAGTGGAAAGAGTAGATAAGGTTGCCAAACTGAATTGCCTAACTGTTTGAAAGGCAAAAAAATCGGAACTTGCCAGGTACTGAATCACATCACCCACCACCACTTGAGTTCCTGTTCAGTCTGTATCAGGAACTAGAGAGGAAGCAAAACACAGTGAAGTGTCCAGCTTGCCAGGGCAGCCCGAAGGCAACTGGGGTGCTGCAGTCAAGAGGGATTCAAGGGAGGCCTCTGCCCAGTGACCTGTATTACAACTGGCTTAGACAGATGCCCAGAGTCACAGCTCAGCCCTCCAGAGGACTGACATCTAACAGATCCCGCCCCAGGAACGCCAATGCCATAGTTTTACCAAATTAGTCCAATATCAGCAGAACCCAGTAAGCAGGGGACTCACTGGAGTCTCTAACAGCCTGGGTGCGGTAGCCCAGGCTGTACTGGCTACACTTCATTGACGCTGGTAAGGACCCACTGACACCTAACTCAGAGGACAGGGAGACACCTGAGCCGGCAAATTCGGGACTGAACAGAAAGTGCAGAGCTTGCCCAATCATCCACGTGAGTCCGGGAAGGAACAAAATCAGGGCAAACTCCAACGTGGACCTTGGATCACATATCCCCATCGTTCCGTTCCAAAGTTCGACCACTCTGAAACCACACGGGTAGGTAGCACCCCAAAGCACTCGGCCCAGAGGATCCCCAGAGAGATCTACACTGAAGTTCAAGGCCTGTCATCCTCGAGAACAGAGATTACCGGAATGCCCCGTCTCCTCTCAAGTCCTCCTGCTCCCCGGTGCCCTCGCCAGCCCCTCCTCCGAGTCCTCAGCAGCCACGATCGCCCCATCCTGGCTCAGGGACTCCACCACCATCCAGAAGGCGATGCCTGCTTTTAATGCCACAGGCTGTACCTGGCTCGAAGTGATTCTGGAAAACCTCGCCTCCCAAGAAGCTGCAGAACGACATGGCCGCAATGGGACAGGCCAATGTACCCCGCCGGGACTCCTCAAGCCCTCAGTCTCGACTCCAGCCCGCCCCCTCCCCAATGACCAATCACGTAGCGGTTTGCTCTCAGCCACGCCTCTAGAGAAGCCGAGTCTCTCCAGGATTTTCTTCGCCTTCTAGAAGGCCCGCCCTCGACGAGTCTCTCCTCCGCTAGGCCCTAAACCCCACCCATCCAACCAATCCCTCCCGGGAACCAGGTTCCCACTTCCGCCCCCAGAAGGCCCGGCCCGGGGAGCCTCTTCCGCGGAGCGCGTCTTCTGCAGCAGAGGCCCGCACTCGGGCAGCTTCAGTAGAGCTGCTAGACCACAGGCCCCCGGGGTAATGGCGCGGAACTGGAGTGGAGACACATCCACCCAGCTGCATCCCTAGCCCGCCCTAATCCGGCGGTAAACCTGGCGCCCTGAGATGTCGGCCCGCCTTTTGGCGCCCCGCGCCCCCTCCGCAACCTCTGAACCAGGCTTAAAGAGTTGCCTCAGGACTTTATTAGACAAAAAGGACAGGACAGGCAGCAGGAGCACGCCCAAGTGTGCTCCATTCCAGGCATCTTATACGTTTCCCGAGGTCTCCGGCTTCTCTTTGTCCAGATGCTTCTTTTGCGGGCCCTGGTTAAGGGAGGGGGACAGGAGGATCGTTAGTCACAGAGTCAGTCAAACACTGCCCACGACCGTCACCAGGGCTACCCAGGGCCTGCTCTACGAGCCCCTAAAAACACCCTTCTTCCAGTTCCTCCCCGAAACAAGCGGGATACGGAGTTTTGAGACCCAGAGAACAGGTGGGACCAGCTCACCATGAAGGCCCTCTTCTCCTGCGCTGTTTGGAAGCGTCCGTGGCCAAACTTGGAAGTGGTGTCAATGAACTTGAGCTCGATATTCTCCAGAGCCCGGCGGCTGTGGTGCACCAGGAGGGACTGGGAATCCAAGAGAGATGTCAAGGATGGAGAGCCCCAACTCCTGTGAGCTCCAGCCCACACCGAGAAGGACTCAGTCGCTCACTCGCTCCTGCCAGGCCCCTTCCTTGATTCTCCCAGCAACCCAGCCCACCACCGAGCAGGCTAAAGGACTGAACAGGCAGCTGGAGCCCACTAACCAGCTTGCCTTGCGGCACTCACCTTCCTCAGTGTGATCACCCGCTTCTTGGTACCTGCAATGCAGCCTTTTAACATGACGAAGTCATTGTTCACTTCCCCATAGTGGGGGAAGCCACCCTACAGGGAGACAGAGCAAACCAAGCCAGATACAAGGCAGACAGTTAGGGGGCCGTGAGACGAAGGAGCCCCATGCCCAGACCCCAGGGTTCAGGGACAATGCCTCACACTGGCTCACCCCAGGGCAGCAGCATCTGAGCCACATACTAAGTATTCTTCCTGTCTTATCTCATTTAACAATATGCCTTTTTGTGGGGGACCCTGGGGCTCAGAAGTTTGGGGATGCTGGGCATGGTGGTGTAAACCTGGAAATCCAACACTTGAGGCAGCAATCCGGCAGAATCACTTGAGAGTTGAAGGCTAGCCTGGGTAACAGTGAGTCCCCGGCTCAGTTGGAAGAATGCTAGTCTAGCATGCACGAGGCCCTATGTTCGATCCTGAGCACCACATTAGAAAACAGGGTGTTAGTCCGTCATGGTGGAACACGCCTTTAATCCCAGCACTTGGGAGGAGGCAGGAGGACCTCAGAGTTCAAGGCCACCCTGGTCTACAGAGCAAGTTCCAGGACAGACAGGGCTATACAGAGCAAAAAATAGGGTGTGTGGCATACCCATATGCTCTCAGCACTCAGATGGGAAAAACAGGAGGATGGGAATTTCAAGGTCATCCTCAGCTATATATAGGGCGTCGGAGGCCAGCATGGGCTACTGCTGTATGCATTTCTCCTCTCTGCAGGTATGAAGGGTGCAGGAACAAACAAGAATTGGGGCTTCCGAGGGCTTGTTCATATCATATCATATCAGGCCTCCCATCACTGACCTCCGGCCAAGACCCTGACTCTAGTGGGGGAGGGGCCACTATCCAGTTGTGGAGCATAGATAATGGAACTCTTGCCGCAGAATAGCACCCAGGTAGGGCCTGTCCCCCCAACTCCCACTAGACCCCATTTGTAGCCTGGCCATCTCGCCTCACCAATGGTGTGATCGACTTGTCAGTTATATCGTAGCTGGTGGACGCATTGTTTTTGACCATCTTCCCATCTTCCATGTGCAGGCCCCGGCCAATTCGGTAGATCTACCAGGAAAACATCAGTAGGGGCCAGAGGTGGGTTTTGGGCCAGGAACATGGCCGCACACACACACACACACACACAGCACAGATGCTCAGACTCTGGAACTAGTAATGATATTTCATGAACCCCATCAGTGTTTGAGTCACGCCATCCCACTAGAGACCCCTCGGAGCTACAGACACACCTTCTTGTTCAGCTCTGTACGGTGGTGGTAACCCTTCTGCCCAGCCCGGGCGATGGAGCAGCCTACTCGGGCAGGGTGCCAGGCACCAATGCAGGCCACCTTGCGCAGGCCTTTGTGGGTCTTCCTCGGCAGCTTCTTGGTATGCCAGCGGCTAGTGACCCCTGTAGGTAGGAAGGGCTGGAGGCTAAGAGGCCACTCTAGCCCCGCCCCCCAAAAAAACAGTCTTCCCTGGAGCTACCGTCTGTACCAGGCCCTACCTTTAACACCCCGGCCCTTGGTGACCGCAATGACATCGATGACCTCGCTCTGGCTGAACACACTGTGTACAGGCACCTGCTTCTCCAGCCGTGCCTGAGCCCAGGCCACCTTCTCGGCCACAGTCCCACCGTTCAGCTGAATCTCCATGATGTGGGCCTTCTTCTGCCGAAAGGGCAGCAGCTTCATCTGCAAGACACAGCGGGGAGGTCAGTTCACAAGCCCCACGCGCCTGCAGGAGGCTAGCCCACTGGTAACCTGAGGTCTTCCCCACGTGCATGTATTCACAGACATTACTGTGTGCTTGCCACAGGCTGGCTGCCGTAGGTACAGCATAGATTGAGGCAGACAGCGTCCCATATCTCAGGGAGTCCCACCATCTCCTTTGAGGACAGATAAAAGCCAAGTAAACTCTTGGAGAGGGCTCGGTGTTCCAATAAACGACGGGCAGCTCTCAGGTAGAACGGTCGGGGAGGGCCTCTCTGAGGAAGTGACCATTAACAGCAAAAAGTCTCTAGGCAAAGATCCGAGTGAGTTTGTGAGGCAGAAGCAGCATGTGAAAAGGCCCTGTGTCAGGAAAGACGTTGGAAGGTTGATGGGACAATCTGGCCAGATGAGAGCTGGAGGGTGCCAGAGCCAGGCAGGTGGAGGACTGGGCTCCAACGTTCTCCCAACTCTAAGTTGCTAACTAGACCGTTCAACAATGCTCTGGCTGCTGTCAGCATCACAGGCTAAGAGGACATACAAGTGGAAAGACACCAGCTAGATCACAGCATAGTGTTCGGAAAGTATTTGCAGAGCTCCTACTGTGTTAAGCCCTGGGCCCACAGGGGAATTGGATGAGTGTGACCCCTGCCCCCATGGTCCCTGGAGGTCAAACTGGTATAGATCAAGCCCCGACTCGCTTACCCGTGAGCTGCAGGCATGAGTGTAACAAGAGCCTGTGTTCAGAGAGCAGGGAGGTGCCCAGGGGGAGTGGGGACAGGGTTGCTGCTGGGGAATACTTCGCTGAAGACAAGATGCATAGGAAAATTCCAGAATGACTGTTCTGGTTAAATTTCAGTCACCATCAAGCTGGACCCCAGGTACAGCCAATTCTCCATGCTGGACTTTTGGCTGAAGACTCGAGCCTTTCAGGACATTTGGGTACCTGAGTTGTCTATGGGACACTCTAGCTGTTGATGACACTGACATGAGACATCTCTGCCAGTGACCTCTCAACTCTGGGACAAGAGTGGCTAGGGAGGTAGCCGGCCAGATCTTGAGCCCGTTCCCAGGGCTGCTGCTATTTTTGAGCTGACATTTGTCAGAGCACTTCATTTGGAGGGGGGGGATGGGAGGAGGCACCCGAAAGTTGGATGGGCTGAAGATGGGGGCTGGACTGACCTGGGTGTGGACAATGACACGAATGACCTTGCAGTACTTCTTCATGGCGGCAAAGTCTTTCTGGAGCTGCTTCTTGCCGCTGGAGTCTCGCCACCTCTTGCAGGCTTTGGTGAAGGCTTTCTTCTTACTCTTGTGCCTGAGCCACACACAGAGTGCTCAAGCCCCAGCCGGGGAGCTCCTGCATCGCCCTGCCTGCCTCACCCTACCTGCAGCCCACCAAGCAAGAGCCCTGGCCTAGGACCTCCCTCAGAGCCTGGGATGTTCCCAGTCACCATTCCTAATCATTTTCTCTCCCTCCCTGCTTCTCCTCTTCCTGTGTGTGTGGGTGTGGGTGTCTCAAGAGGGTCCCACTATGTCACCCAGGCTGGACTAATACTCCTGATCCTTGTAAAGTATTGGGGTTTTACAGGCATGTGCCCAGCAATAATCTCTATTTAAAAACCGCTAATGCCTCCTTCAGACACCGTGAGCAAATGCTGTGCCTCCAGTTAGGCAGACACCCTTCCCAACCCTCACTGGGGCTCTAGAAGGTAGGAAGAATGATGAGCCCTATCCTAGAGATGAAGAGGCCACAGTTCCCAGAGCTAAACTCTGGATGAAGAGCAAATTCATGATACAAACAGTAAAAACAGCATCCTTGATGCTCACCAGTCACTTGGGGCGGGG